AGTCTCGATTCGTGCCAACCCAACAGACACTTTCGGAGATACCTGTAGTGTACCTTTATAGCCACCCAGTTACGTTGTGACGTTTGGCACACCCAAAGCACTCCTACGGTATCCGGGAGTTGCACAATCTCATGGTCTAAGGAAATGATACTTGACATTAGAAAAGCTTTAGCATACGAACTACATGATCTTGTGCTAGGCTTAGGATTGGGTCTTTGTCCATCACATCATTCTCCTAATGATGTGATCCCGTTATCAACAACATCCAATGTCCATGGTCAGGAAACCGTAACCATCTATTGATCAACGAGCTAGTCAACTAGAGGCTTACTAGGGACATGGTGTTGTCTATGTATCCACACATGTATCTGAGTTTCCTATCAATACAATTCTAGCATGGATAATAAACGATTATCATGAACAAGGAAATATAATAATAACTAATTTATTATTGCCTCTAGGGCATATTTCCAACACACCAATCATTGAACTTTCTGAAACATTAATCTTGAATGGATATTAGTTTGATGAGCTATATGTTGTTATGAATTACCAAAAACACCCGGGGATTAGTTGCACTTTCAGATGACTATTGTCGCAATATGTTCCAAAGCTTATGTAAGAAAGATGCTGGTCATAGTCTATAAGATTAGGGTGATCTCCAATAAGCTCATGAATAGGCCAGGAGTGTGACTAATATGCTCCACCCAAGGGATCAGCCTTCGGCAGTCTAGTACTAGTAAGACATGTAGTGAAACTTCTTTACACCAAACAGGAAATTCAAGGCAGTCTATTGTTCAGTTGTGAAGGAGTGTAGGTACTTGCTCTAGGTGGAGCTCAACCTTAACAGGTCTTCACTGAAATACTGGTATATCAAAATAGTTTTTGGAACAAAGGACAATATGGGCCCTTGAGATCTGGTGGGGGATTATTGAAATATTAGGGTGGGCCTCGGGCCCATCTAACAATTTATGAAAATCTCTAAGGGCCCGTGTGGGTTAAATGGCACTATGTGTAGTGGGAAGTTTAGTCCCACCCACTAATGGAGAAGGAGTTGGACCTTTTTATAAGAGATTCTTTTCCACATGCTATTGGAGCTTGAGAAGAGAAGAGGCCCTCGCACACTCCTCCTCCGCCGCCCGCCTCTCCACGCCTCGCCTCGCCTCGACGCACCGCACCGCGGGAATGAGCCGAGCCAAGCTCACACTTATGAGCTTATTTTTGCCGATCAGGAACGGAGATTTTTTGACAGCTGGGCCATGATCTGAGACATCGGATTGTGGGCCCACGTCTCTCCATGCGGCTGTGCCTATATATGTGTGAGGCGTCTGCCGACCCTAGCCATCTAGAAAATCAGATCACATCTGCCTCCACGCCCATGGTCCATTGCTGCTGCCGCCGCCGTCGACTCCATCCCGTTCATCGCGTACACGGTTGACAGGAGAGAAGGCCCCCGCCTCTCCAGATCTTGTATGGAGAGAGGCGATCAGGTTTTCGGGGAGCGACTACGTGACTGCTCGCCTCCGATCCACTACTTCCTCTACGTCCACATCGCCTTCGTCATCACCATGTCCATTGACGCCGACCGTGCTGCCGCCGAGAAGCTTGAAGCCGAGAAGAAGGCCGCTAAGGACACCACTGCTGCCGCCGCCACGACGGCGGCTTCTGCCTGGCCTATTGGAGGGTATAACTGATATGTCTCCAATGTATCTATAATTTTTCATTGTTCCATGTTGTTATATTATCATTCTTGGATGTTTTACAATTATTTTATAGCAACTTTATATCATTTTTTGGGACTAACCTATTGATATAGTGCCCAGTGTCAGTTGTTGTTTTTTACTCCATAGAAAATCAATACCAAACGGAGTCCAAACGCAGTGAAACGTTTTGGAGATTTTTTCTTGACTAGAAGACACCTGTTGGGCCAAAGAAGTACCAGAGGGGGGCTCCGAGGGGAGCACAACCCACCAGGGCGTGCCTGGAGGCCCAGGCGTGCTCAGGTGGGTTGTGCCCACCTCGGTGGCCTCCCGCACTGCCTCTTTGCTCTATAAATACCCCAATATTCCAGAAACCCTAGGGGGTCAATGAAAATCAACTCCAGCCGCCGTAAGTTCCAGAAATCATAAATCCAATCTAGACACCATCACGGAGGGGTTCATCATTCTCATTGGTGCCTCTTCGATGATGTGTGAGTAGTTCATTGTAGACCTATGGGTCCGTAGGTAGTAGCTAGATGGCTTCCTCTCTCTCTCTTTTGATTCTCAATACAATGGTCTTTTGGAGATCTATTAGATGTAACTCTTTTTGCGATGTGTTTGTTGGGATTCGATGAACTTTGAGTTTATGATCAGATCTATGTTTTTATCTATAAAAGTTATTTGAGTCTTTTGATCTCTTATATGCATGATTACTTATAGTCTCGTATTTCTTCTTCGAATATTTGGTTTAGTTAGGCCGACTAGATCGATTTTTCTTGCCATGAGAATAGTTGCTTTGTGATGGGTTCATCTTACGGTGCTCGATCCCAGTGACAGAAGGGGAAACGACACTTATGTTTCGTTGCTATTAAGGATAACAAGATGGGGTTTATTTCTACATAAATAGATCTTATCTACATCATGTCATCATTTTATTGCATTACTCCGTTTCTCCATGAACTTAATACACTAGATGCATGCTGGATAGCGGTCGATGTGTGGAGTAATAGTAGTAGATGCAGGCAGGAGTCGGTCTACTAATCTTGGACGTGATGCCTATATAATGATCATTGCCTGCATATCGTCATGACTATTTGAAGTTCTATCAATTGCCCAACAGTAATTTGTTTACCCACCATATGTTATTTTTCTCGAGAGAAGCCACTAGTGAAACTTACGGCCCCCCAGGTCTCTTCTTTATTATATTTGCCTTCAAGATCTATTTTTATTCGTTTTTATTTTTAGATCTATTAATCCAAAACCTCCAAAAATAGCTTGTTGCACTTTGTTTTATTTTGCGTTTATTCGTGATCTATTTATCCTATCTATCATATTTTTATCCCGTCAACTCGACAATTTCTGGCACCGTTATCCAAAAAGGATTGACAACCCCTTTAACACGTCGGGTTACAAATATTTGTTCTTTGTGTACAGGCATTGTTTATGTAGTGTTGTGTGATTTTCCTACTGGTTCGATAATTTTGATCTCATCACTGAGGGAAATACCTACAGTTGATGTGCTACATCATTCCTTCCTCTTTGGGGAAATACCGACGTAGTTCAAGCCGTAATGAATAACTCGTTTACCCCACTCCTGTTTATTATCGTTCTAGACATTGTAGCATTATGTGTAGATGTATCTGCTATTAACATAGTATGTTCTTGCATGATCCAATATCAGCATGTTGTTAATTCTGCCAATGCCATGCTACTGATTTATTCGTGGATTAATTTAGTCAAAAAACTGCCTATTTACTCAACACCAATAACCTTAAGTGTCTACCCTCTATATATAGAAAACTTGACTGCGAACTCATGGATACGGAATGAGAACTAAAATTCCCTTGATGATTGTATGTGCTCTCGTGCATAGTGATCCAATCATTCTTGACACGGACTTTACAAATAACTCATCCACATATCGCCCTTTCAAATTTGAATTATGGTGGTCATAATCCAGAAGTGTACGAGATCACTATAGTCTATATTGGAAAGTATTACAACTCTAATTTATATTTGACACGACGATGGAAGTAAAGAATACTTATAAGCTCCTGTCCTGGCTCATTCGGGTTGTGAGCCGAGCCCGAGCCAAGTTTCGCAAAGTTTTTCCTCTGCCATGTCTGGCCACGCTTCCTGCAGGCCTGCTGGTGCCGTGTGCTATCTTCCACGGTCACCGGCCATCGAGGCGGCCGAAGCTGCGCTGCAGCAGTGCCCGCTCATCGTTATCGTGGGCGGCACCCGCTCTGGCATTTCCTGTGATGATGTTGCGGCCTTGCTTCGCGAGAAGTGTCCTATGCCTTCCCACACGTTCCCCCTCCATCGCCGCCGCCCCGACGAGTTCCTGCTTCACTTCCAGGACGCCGCTGATCGGGCGCGCGTGGCCGCGGCCACGTTTTGTTTCCGGCTCTTCCGCCTGCTAGTCCATCCATGGAGTGACTCCGCCGGGGCTGAGCCGGTCACGTCGCGGTTCCTCTAGTCCTCTTTGAGCTCGGTGGCATCCCAGACCACGCTTGGGAGCGGGCGTCCGCAGAGACGCTGATGTCCCCGTTCTGTGACGTCGATGAGCTCGCACCAGAGACGGTCAGCATGTCGGACATATCGGCATGGAAACTCAACCCCGACGGGATCCCGCGCTCGTTTGGGCTGCTCCTTACTGAGCCTAGCGCTGCGATCGAGCGTGCTGACCCGAACCCGGTCTTCCACTTCGGTCGCGCCATGCTGCGCTTCCTGGTGTCCATCCGCGTCTCTGCATATGAGGACTACTGTCTCCTGGT